GGTCCGTGTTTGCTTTTAAACATGTCACTGTTAACCTTTCTTTCATGTATACAGCACCTTTCTACTGAAGTGAAGTTAATGATTTCATAAATCGCGGCGTTCGTTTGGCGAAAGAAGCCACTGGGATTGACCAGCAAAAGAAGCAATTTCAGCGTACAGGTCTGGACACCGTGGAAGTCATGAACGATATGTTTTCAACTGAAAACTGAAAAATTTGCGGCGTATATATTCACAGATACCATTCTCAAACCACGTGGGTTGAAAATTTCTGGAGTTACATCTTTTATGAACGTGGTAAACATGGGAAATCCGGCGCCGGCACTCACAAGCGAAGCTTCGTCAGATCGCGCAAAGTTTCGCTGTGTTGTTGCTGCATTGTTTACTTCACAATAGGCTATTAAAATCTTGCAAGAAGTTCAGGCAACCGTACTTACAGTTTTTTAAAGCTCTCGCGAGACGAAAGTCTTGTCTCTCAAGACGAAAGTCACGTCTCTCGAGACGAGATTCTTGTCTCGTGAGACGAGAATCTCTTCTCGCGAGAAGGTGGTAACCTACTTTTGAGCAGTACATGCAGTACATGCAGTACATGCATAATACTTTTGATAAACTGATTAAAGCTGTATAGTAAGATGATATATAACAATATTATTATGATAGTATGATATTTTATTATTACTGTGCATGTACTTCATCACAATGAACAACCACAGACGTTCATTTACATCACTTGTACATTCCCTGATACCCATTTCAGTACAGTTGGGTGGAGAGCTGCACTGTGAGAGTATTTTTAAGTGTCTTCCTTGAAGCCAGTCTGCTCACTCCAAAGCCCAGTGAGCTAACCATTACACCATGACTGCACAGGTTTTTAATGTAACAAAATGAAACATTTCTGCACAGTTTACTTAACAACAGAATATATAATGCACAATGCACAACAGACCTTTGTCCATTAAATGGAATATTTTATTCTTCATCAGCTCATTTTGTTCATCTAAGAGTTGTCTCTGTATTGTTAGACACCTCAAGGCCCAGATACAAGTAGACTGCAACAAAGAACTCAATAAGTAAGCACACCCTGTCTGTTAGTAATACTTTCAACTGTAGCAGATTTGCACATTGTTATTCTGGCAGGTGCAATGTAAACATTGTAGCTGATTTAGGCAAACTTTACCCAGACTTACAAAATACCTAGTGCACTTTTTCAAGTTAAAAACAACAGAACATAGAATAAATTACAATATTTAGAGAGGAAGCCACATCAGCCTTAGCTGGTTTTCATGCAGGTCCTCCATCCTGGTCAAATTGGAATTTGGAGATGTTGGTTTAAGTGGAGGAAGGAAAACCGGAGGAACCCGGTACATGGCTTTAAGGATGCTCAAAATTTGCCAAAAATGCATGATTAGAAATGACTGGATGACATGCAGATGAAATTTAGTTGAACATCTGCAGTAGACAAAGGGTATGACAACAATGACAAACGTTATCGCGAGATAAAAAAATAAATAAACTGCTTTATCTTATTATTGACTTTATGACAAAAAGTGTTTAACTTGATAAGGTTATTTTAATCATTACCTGGCAGACAGTCAAGGATTCTTCACATTCAACTAAGATTGCTTTGGCAGTCAAGAAAAGCAGGGGGGCATCCATCAAAGGATTGGTAAAGGACTGAAAGAAAAAGTACTTGACTATGTTGCAATCTATTTGCAATGATTATATCTACAGTGATAAATAGCTCACCATATTGAACATGTATATTCCTGTAATGAGGAAAATCTTAGCTGTATTCAAGCTTTGAAGATAAAAGAGTTATGTTCCCAAGGAGAAGAGGGTACTTGACCCAAATCTGGGTATAGAGGTGTTGCCAAGGGTCAGGAAATCCTGACCCTGTTTAGGACAAAAATACTCTAAAATTTTCAAAGGCCAATTCAAATTATCCGTTTTTCCCGTTGACTTCTGAATTTTCAGTGGCTTCTCTCCACTGGCATCCAAAGGCACTATAAATGCAAGGAAACCACTCTCACACACTTACATGCCTTTAATTCAAAATTAAATATGACAACAACACATAGGCGAGTAATAATGAGCCTCCTTTTTTAGCTCTGACAAAGAAGCAACCAAAAATTAAGCAAGACAAAAAAGATTGGCTTAAGGAAAAAATCCCTGAGTAGACAATTTTAAATATACATGTATTCTCATCACCAATCTGTCCTTGTTCTTGTTCATACGTTATTTTTGCCATTTATAAATATATTTACAACATAACAAAGTATAAGGTAAGGAAGCCCAGGAAAGCCAATAGGCTTATGTAAAGGATTACCTTAAAGATAACTAAGACTTAACAAAAGAATAAAACTGCTGGACATCATTTGCTTAGCTTAACATGAAGTGAAATAATAACTTAGAGGCATACATGCACCGTAAGACCCTCATCCAGCCTGGTCATATTTCATTTTAAAACATATTTATAATAATTTTACATTGTTGTACCTCTCCATCTTGACTGAGTCTTGCTATAATCTGTTGATTAGAGCATTCTTGCCCAGACTGTGGCAGCACTGAAGCAAGTGAAGGTATTGGGCCAGTCCAGTTACACTGAATAAAGAGGTCAAGACAAGCCACACCCGTGAAAAACACCAACGCATGTCTGCCAAGAAAAAGATGTTTGCTTTAAAACAATGAAGAGAGTTGATAATTTGTCATAACACCCATAAAAAATTATAAAATTATAACATAAATTATAAATGTTTATAGGAGATATTGGAGAGTTAGCCTCTTCCAAGCGTTCAGACACTTGGAGCCCAGGGCAAAAAACAATGAGTGAAAAAATAGGGAGAAGCGCAGAAACAAAAAGCGAAAGCTTCCTCTTGCCGTACTGTTTTTAATTTTTCGTGCGCAATTTTAGGTAAAATCAATTACTACCATTTGTATGTATGGTACCATAGTTTCTTTAAGAAAACTGGCCAGAGATGAAAATTCTGTAAGTTGCATATGATAAGGCTGTGTTGGAGAACCAGTACTCTAGTCATGTCAATATTTGTTAATTTTCTACACATTTATTAAAATAAACATATTTGAGCAAACTTCCAGTACCTTCCAAATTTGCAAGAAAAAATTACAGACGTATCAATAACTGCACGCACTTTCAGCAAAGCTGCAAACTTAAAATAGTGTACATCCTTGCCTGCATAGCTGACGATTTAGATCCATGGGGTTTAATTTTTTGGTAGTGTTTCATGGGGCAGAATGAGCCTCACCTTCGCCGCTCATTCTGCACCATGAAAGGCCACCAAAAAATTCTCCCAAACTGCCAGCTGGGCAAGCTTCATGCAAGTACCGCACATCCCTAAGTTCTTTTAGCAAAGTGAAAGTCATTAAAGGTTTAAAAAAAGAAGTTTCAAAGAAATTATTCAATTATTCAAAACCTCGGCTGACCTGACAGGTGAGCATTCATTCTCTTGTAACAACAATATCTCTTTCATCAATTGATCATTATCTATAATGCAAAAAGATAAATTGTACTACAGTGGCTCTCGTTTTCCACAGAGGCTCAAAGGTGGTTTTTATCATATGGGAAGTATCCACTGAGTGATGTCAGTGCAGGCATAATGTAACATGAGAGGATATAGCTGGAGCAGGCTTGCCACCAGGTGGATCTTTCAACTTTTGTGCNCTGTACGTAAATAGCGTCACGCTCCATTAACTGCGCTTTAACGATTGACTTTAAAGCTTTATTTATTAAAATAAATATATTTGAGCAAACTTCCAGTACCTTCCAAATTTGCAAGAAAAAATTACAGACACACGAATAACTGCACACACTTAAAGCAAAGCTGCCAACTTAAAATAGTGTACATCCTTGCCTGCATAGCTGATGATGGGGTTTAACTTTTTGGTAGTGTTTCATGGGGCAGAATGAGCCTCTCCTTCGCCGCTTGTTCTGCACCATGAAAGGCCACCAAAAAATTCCTCCAAAACTGCCAGCTAGGCAAGCTACATGTAAGTACTGTCCATCCCTAAGTTCTTTTAGCAAAGTAATTGTCATTAAAAGTTTAAAAAAAAAAAGAAGTTTCAAAGAAATTATTCAATTATTCAAAACCTCAGCTGACCTGACAGGTGAGCATTCATTCTCTTGTAACAACAATATCTCTTTCATCAACTGATCATTATCTGTAATGCAAAAAGATAAATTGTACTACAGGGGCTCTCGTTTCCACAGAGGCTTAAAGGTGGTTTTTATCATATGGGAAGTATCCACTGAGTGATGTCAGTGCAGGCGTAATGTAACATGAGAGGATATAGCTGGAGCAGGCTTGCCCTCAGGTGGATCTTTCAACTTTTGTGTCTGCACTCACCTTGCTCAGCAGATTTCTGTAATGAATATCTGAACCTTGGCAGAGAGAGGTTGGGGCTGAAGAGAGGCAATGAGAGAGTTTAAAGAGTCTTGCCCAGGAATGCTGGTTTAACACAATTAGCCTACTGGCAAAGGCAAAAGGTGTAGAGGACTGTTTATGATAGATAGGTCATCTGGATAAAATGATAATTGCAAAATTAACACGAAGTAAATATTTAAAGTCCTGACAAATAACCCAAGAATTTCTTTCTGGGTGTTGGTCCAAGAAAATAAACTTGGGATCTCATCAGGCAAACAAAAATTTTATTGACCAAGATGCTCGCTCAGGAAACCAACAAGAACTAATTCAGAAATCATGGGTTCAGTTTCCACCAGTTTCCCACCAAGGTAGCAAATTATAATAATAATAATAATAATAATAATAATAATAATAATAATAATAATAATAATAATAATAATAATAATAATAATAATAATANAAAAGTTTAAAAAAAAAAAGAAGTTTCAAAGAAATTATTCAATTATTCAAAACCTCGGCTGACCTGACAGGTGAGCATTCATTCTCTTGTAACAACAATATCTCTTTCATCAATTGATCATTATCTATAATGCAAAAAGATAAATTGTACTACAGTGGCTCTCGTTTTCCACAGAGGCTCAAAGGTGGTTTTTATCATATGGGAAGTATCCACTGAGTGATGTCAGTGCAGGCATAATGTAACATGAGAGGATATAGCTGGAGCAGGCTTGCCACCAGGTGGATCTTTCAACTTTTGTGCCTGCTCTCATCTTGCTCAGCAGATTTCTGTAATGAATATCTGAACCTCAGCAGAGAGAGGCTGGGGCTGAAGAGAGGCAATGAGAGAGTTTAAAGAGTCTTGCCCAAGAATGCTGGTTTAACACAATTAGCCTACTGGCAAAGGCAAAAGGTGTAGAGGACAGTTTATGATAGTTAGGTCATCTGGATAAAATGAGAATTACAAAATTAACACTGAAGTAAATATATAAAGTGCTAATAAATAACCCAAGAATTTCTCTCTAGGTGTTGTTCCAAGAAAATATACTTGGTATCACACCAGGCAAACAAAACTTTTATTGACCAAGATGTTAGGTCAGGAAACCAACAAGAACTAATTCACAAATCATGGGTTCAATTTCCAACCAGTTTCCCACCAAGGTAGCAAATTATAATAATAATAATAATAATAATAATAATAATAATAATAATAATAATAATAATAATAATAATAATAATAATAATAATAAACTTTATTTATCAAGGGTAGTTAACATAGAACAGTAGTAACTGAAAAACCAGTGGTTGTCATATAAAAGATGAACTATTAAAAGTTAATAATATAGAAAGATTCTCAAGTATGTGACGATAACATAAAAGAAAAACTAAAATATGAGCAACACTAGTGTAGTGCTTGGCTTCCGCACTTATTTTTCTTATTTTATCCTTTATTTGCCTGACTAAGAGGGCAATAGTAAGCCCTAAAGACTTAAAGCATGAAGCTGTGGCTCATCCTTAGTGTAAGAACCCGTAACAACTATGAGTGACGTAAAACAAAGAAAACAAAAAACTCGACAGAACAGACCCTTATCCTAACAAAAGCTACAAAACAAAGAAAATCTTCACAGGTTCTTACACCGAGGAAAACCCAAAGCTGTTCATGTCTTTCTCACCTGTTGTTACTGCTGCAATATGTAATAGATGTTGTGGAGTTTTTTGTTGCAATGCTCTCAAGTAATCTCCCTTACATAAACAAACTACAA